TTGAACACTCACAAATAATTACTTACACTGTTGCAATCATCTGTGCTTCTAACGCATTCAGTTTTGTTATGTCCTTGGTTCATTTTGTGAAAGGGAACAAACTAAGCTTTGAATGTAGAAGTCAACCAAAACTCCATAATTTAATTTATGAAACTGTGAATATCTGATTGATCATGAGTTATCCTTTGGATTGTATATCATCTAAGCTATTTTAAACATCAACTAAAATTCACCTCTTTTTGACATATAAAAGGATTGAAAAAGTAAGCATTCAATAGGATGTAGAAAACTATAATTAATATAGTAAACATCTTCATCCAAGATTGTTTATCGCCATACTCCTTTGTCCTTCATAGTCCACACATCTATGTGATTTGTTGGATTATTACAAATCATAGAGATATTAGTTTCTAGAACTCACTCCATCCCCACATGGTCTCTCCAGCTTTCCCCATTTATTATCAGCCAAATTAAAAGACGTTTTGCCCCAGACTCTTTCCAAACCAGAACCAACATTAGTAGCCCAACGAAGCTTTCCATTCACAAACTTACATGAACTAATTAACTGCACTATATTCCAATTCCAAGGATTCTCAATTATCTGCCAAAGATCATTCTTTAAACTGAACATGCTTACCTTTCGAAAGTTACCTTGACGACCAAAAAAAAGTAAAAGTTCGCACTACCTTATAATCATCATGGATCTTATCATATCCATAACCACACATGAAACGACTAGCATTCTTCAATTGATTTAATCTAAAATTACGTAATTTCTTGTATTTTCATATTGGTGGTTTCCATAGAAATATTTCTTCAGCCTCATTAACAAGACAAATCAATCCATTGACTGAACTGGGGGCCTTCGTCAACATGTTACGAAGCTCCAGTCTTCGGTGGGTCACTATTACTTAACTTAGAAAGACGAACATCTGGGCAAGGGAAAGCGCAGTGCGCCTGGTGCAAATGGCTTTCTTTTTTCATGATATACCAATTAGAATGGATGATCCTACCTACGTACATGATTGATAGAATCACTACGTAGGGGGGCGGTCAACTTGATGCCCCTCAATCAAATAAGATATGCAGAATTTTTCGTTAGATAATCCAAGTTAGATTCCTCCGTAACTCTATGCTTGATGTTTTTGTGAAATGATACACTCATATGAGACTTGACAAATTCAGGGCTAGAGATCAAAGTAAGCTAAGATTTTGAAACAGACCTAAATTTCAAAAGACATTTCACTGGAAGCCTTGAGATGATTTCAGCAACAACTTCAGGTAGCAGAAAAGGGTTTATAGATCTGCTTCAATTTCGGTGTTGATCGGATTCTTCATAAGGTATTCAATTTTATTCATTCAGTTCTTCTGTACGTAGCATTTTTCTCTTAATTTGTGAAAATGTTGGAGCCGATATAGTAAAAAAGCAAATCAAGAATTATTTTACTTGACTGAATTGAAGTGAGAATGAGGAAGACTCTTCCTAGATTTTTATAATATAAGTTGAATTAAGGTAAACATGTCACTTGAAGTGTAGTGAGAATGAGAAGACAAATCTTCTTAGATTCATCACACTAAAATCATTTTGTAACGTGTCACTGGAAGTATATAATGAATTGATGAGTTATTTGTTGGAATTAATGCATTCACACCTTGATGTTTAGTCTTTCAATATTATCTTTTAGTTTTTCAAGAAGCCTTTTAGGTGTTTTTAATACATGTATCTAATAAATTGTGATACTCATGTATCCACTTATTTGTGCAAGGCCTTTGATTTTACATTTTATTAGTATAAATAGATATGTAATAGATGATTATAATCCTCTCAAGTGGCCTTACGTAGTATATATAAAACTTGAGCAATTTCTAAAGATATTATTCTCCTTCTATAATTCCTACAAATTAGTATCAGAGAAGGTTTTCGTTCTGAATCTAGAGTTAGGTGAAGGAAAAAATAAGGCATCTAAAACAAATGAAGGTGCTGATTCTTCAGTTGTTCTTACTCCATTTTTTGAAGGAACTGATTTTGAATACTGGAAGATAAGAGTGAGAAAGCATTTGAAAGTTGAAGGTTTGTGGACTATTGTTGTAAATGGCTATGAAGAGCTAGAAAACGATGTGAAATTTCAGTAGCAAAGATGAAAAATCTTGAGGCTAAGTACCGTCAAGATGCAAAAGCCTTGAGCAAAATCCAAATGGGAGTCTCAAGAGCATATTTTGCAACAATTGTTACTTGTGAGACTGCAAAACAAGCTTGGAAGTCTCTGGAAACTGAGGTGTATGGTGAGGAAAAGGTACGCACTATAAATCTTCAAACTCTTAGAAGAGAGTTTCAAAATTTGAAGATGATAGAATCTGAAAAAATAGATGAATATTGCACAAGAGTCATGAATATTGTTAATGAAATGAGAAATCATGGTGATACAATTTCTCACCAACAAGTTGTGGAAAAGATTCTAATTAGTGTCACAGAAAAGTATGAGTACATTGTTGCTATCATTGAGGAGACGAAAGATCTTTCTAAGCTTTCCATCAAAGAGCTAGTTGGATCATTTTGTGCACATGAGAAACAAAGATTTTTTCGTGAAGATCAACCCAAAGAGACTGCTTTCCAGTCCAGAACAAATGAGAATTCTCAAAAATTCTCAAAAAATCAACAAAAGAAGAATTACAATCCAAAAAAGAAAAAGGATCATGATGGTTCTTCTAATAAGGTTGAAGAAAAAGGTGAGAACAGTTCTAGTCTTTTTTGTAAAATTTGCAAAAGGATTATCACAATGCAGAAAAATGTTGGCACAAAGGCAAGCCCCAATGTAACTTTTGTAAAAAGTTTGGCCACATTGAGAAGGATTGTTGGCACAAGCAACGGGAGCAAGCAAAATTTTATGAAGAACAGGAGGAAGAAAACCTTTTCTTTGCTTCTCAGTCTGATGCTTCAGCAAAAACCAATGAATGGTATATTGATAGCGGTTGTAGCAATAACATGACTGGAGATAAAATTGCTTTTCTCTCGATTAATAGTAGCATCACTACTAGAGAATGGGGAATGGAGCCTTAGTTGATGCAAAAGGTAAAGGTACCATTTCGATCAACATAAAAGGGAGCGGGAAATAAATTCATGATGTGTTTTATGTTCCTGACTTGGAAGAAAATTTGCTTAGTGTTGGTCAATTCATTGAAAATGGTTATTCTCTAGTGTTTAGATATAATTATTGCAAGATTTAAGATAAAATCGAGCCAAATCAAGTCACTGTTGAAGTAGAGATGATAAAAAGAAAATTTCATTTATGATTTCATTACAATGTGTTCAAAAATGAAGTTGTAGATGATTCATGGATTTCGCACAAAAGATTTTGTCACTTGAATTTTCATGGTTTGAAGATTCTCAAGCAAAAAGACATTGTGCAAGGCCTTCTTGAGATACTTATTGAGATTAAGGTAGAGAATACTTCTATCATATCTTTAGATGTGTCAAATCAAGAAGAGGATGAGGAAGAGGAAGATGTCCCTCAAAGGGGAGAAATCTCAGATTATGATGATGAAGAACCATCTCCAAGAGGAGAAAAAATGTTGAGTGAAATATATCGCAGATGGTGTTGAGCTAGAAAATTATGAGGAGGTAATAAAGCATGATATTTGGAAGAAAGCCTTGACAGAAAAAATTCGGATGATTGAGAAAAATAATACTTGGGAGTGTGTGACTATATATACCTAAAGAAAGAGAAGTTGTAAGTCTAAAATGGATATACAAAACCAAATTCAATCAAAAAGGAGATACTCAAAAGTACAAGAGAAAGGTGCAATTCAGTTGCAATTATTGTCAGACAGGAGAACAACTTGCTGACATCTTCACCAAATCATTTCCAAGAAAAAAAGTTTTGGTATCTTCGAGAAGGCATTAAAGTTGTCAAGCAAATGCATTAAGGGGAGGGGGGGGGGGAGGAGGGGCGATTGGAATTAATGCATTCACACATTGATGTTTAGTCTTCCAATATTGTCTTTTAGTTTTTCAAGAAGAATTTTAGGAGTTTGTAATACATGTATCTAATAAATTGTGATACATGTATCTAGTTATTTATGCAAGACCTTTGATTTTACATTTTATTAGTATAAATAGAGATGTAATAGATGATTATAATCATCTCAAGTGGCCTTAAGTAGCCTATATAAAACTTGAGCATTTTCTAAAGATAGTATTCTCCTTCTATATTTCCTATATTATTGGCATTTAGCACCCAACACTTATGGTTTTGTTTGGACTTTGCATCCCATTCTTTTAATGACTTGCACCTTAGTTTATACATTTCCTTTCAAATGTTGGAGCTGAAAGAGAAAAAAAGTAATTTATATTTATTTAAATACTATACTATATCTCACTTCTGATTACTGGCCATAAAAATAGTTCATATTTGGAAAGAAAATTATATCTTATTGTCATTTTCCAAATGGGTTACTATTTTTTATTTACCAAAAGTCAAATTATATTTACAATACTAGATTATTTGTTAATTTCAATTTATGATTGGAGTACAATGAAGCCAAGATGTAACTTAGTGGTCAATAAAGTTTGACTGAGCTTTAGTGAGACCAAATGTTCAAGCAAATTAAAAATGCGAAGTTTTTGTCGGAAAAGTCCTTTAGTTATGAATTATTTTTTTAATGCTTGTTGGTCTTTTTATTTTATTGAATGTTAAACTCCTAATTATTAGGAAGTGGGAAAATCTTTAGTAAGTTAGTAGCGTCTGTTAGGAGTCCTAGTAGTCGTAGGTTTGTGGTTTAAATGCATAACAAAACACTCTATGTAAAAGTCTATATGATGACTTATCCTAATTGCTATCGAAGACAAGAGAGTCGCGCAGTAAGAAATTTTTCTTCTGTTGCTTGTTTCAATTTGTTCACACCATCATTCTATTTGTTATTTTCTATCAGTTGTATCAGAGCCAGGTTGAATTTAAAAAACACTTGTGAGGGAGAGTTCACCCAGAAATTATTATTCATCTATGGCTTCAGAGAGCAACTTTGTGCAAGAAACAATTCCCCATTTCGATGGTCACTATGACCATTGGAGTATGCTGATGAAAAACTTTTTACGGTCAAAGGAGTATTGGCCAATTGTCGAAGATAGAATCGGCACTCCAGCGGAAGGCAAAGCTTTGAAGAATACTCAAAAGACGGAGTTTCAAGGAGAAACCTGAAAGATATTAAGGCAAAAAATTACCTCTTTCAGGCTATTGAGCGCCCTATCTTTGAAACTATTATTTGCAAAGAAACTTCCAAGGATATATGGGACTCCATGAAGAAGAAGTATCAATGCACTACAAGAGTGAAGCGAGCACAACTTCAAGCCTTGAGGAGGGACTTTGAAACTTTGCAGATGAAGGAGGGTGAAACTGTTACTAGCTATTGCGCTAGAACCATAGAGATAAAAAAACAAGATGTGATTTCATTGTGAGAAAATTAACGATGTCACAATTTTTGAAAAGATATTGCTTTCCCTATCATCAAAATATGGTTATTTTGTATGCTCGATTGAGGAGTCAAAAGACATAGATGTTTTGTCACTTGACGAATTGCGAAATTCCTTGTTGGTGGATGAGCTAAAGATGAACATAAGTTCAACTTTTGAGGAGCATGCCTGGAACGCTTCTACTTTTATTCCTTCCAATTCTAGAGGAAGGGGTAGAGGTAGAGGAAGAGGGAGAAGAGACCGAGAAAATAGAGATGGTGGCAACAAAGAAGGCAGTAGGAATTTTAGAGCTAATGATGACTATGGCAGAGGTAGAGGAAGAGATTTTGATAAATCTAAGGTGGAATGTTATCGCTGCCATAAGTTTGGTCATTATCGTTCTGAATGTCGTACTAGGCTGCCTAGTGAGAAAGAAGAAAAGTCAAATTTTGCTGAGAACAAGGAGGGGGAAACCTTGTTAATGGCAGTCCATGTCGAAAACGAGTCATAGGAGCAAGCTATTTGGTATGTGGATACCGGCTGCAGTAACCACATGATTGGAAGTAAGTATTTTTTCTCTTATTTAAATGAAAGCTTCCTTTCGACAGTTGGTTTTGGTGATCTCTCCGCAATGAATGTAATGGGGGAGGGTAATATTAATTTAAGAATCAAGAATGCGTGTGTGGAAACCATATCTAATGTGTTTTATGTTCCTACTTTGAAAAATAATTTATTGAGTGTTGTTCAATTGTTAGATAAAGGATATGTCATCACCTTTAGGAACGATTCTTGCAAATTCTCTTATCCTTCCAAAGGAGTTATCACTACTGTGAAAATGAGTCATAATTGGTTGTTCCCTTTAAATATTGAAAATGTTCAATCTTGTTTTATGGCGGAAGTGAAAGACCCTTCGTGGTTGTGGCATTTTCGATATGGCCATCTAAATTTTGGTGGTTTGAAGATCCTTCAAAAGAAGAATATAGTGGTATGCCTTCCTAAAATTGTTGTTCCTTTTCAAGTTTTTGAAGAATGTGTTGTTAACAAACAACACCGGTTTCAATTTCTGAAAGGCAAGTCATGGCGAGCAAAAGAGATGTTGGAGTTGGTTCACTCAGATATTTGTGGGCCAATAACACCAATCTCTAATGGAGGCAAAAGGTATTTTATTACCTTTATTGATCATTATTCCCAAAAGACTTGGGTATATTTTTTGCAAGAAAAATCAGAGGTTTTTAATGTATTTAAAATTTTTGAAGCTCATGTGGAGAATGAGACGGGGAAGACCATAAAAAGCGTTTGAACAAATCATGGAGACGAATATTGTTCTAAGGCATTCGAATAATTTTGTGAGACTTGTGGCATTCTAAAAGAGCTCACAACAGCCTATACACCTCAAGAAAATGGTGTATCGCAGAGAAAGAACAAAACCATTCTGAACATGGTTCGAAGCTTTCTGACTCGAGGAAGAGTTCCAAAGGCATTTTGGACGGAAGCAGTAAATTGGAGCATCCATATCTTGAACAGAAGTCCTGCTTTTTCTCTTCGAGATGTGACACGAGAGTAGGTTTGGATTGAAAGGAGACCGATGGTAGATCACTTCAAATTTTTTGGCTGCATTTCCTATCCACATGTTCCAGATGTAAAGAGAAAGAAGCTTGACGATAAAGGCGTTAAGTGTGTCTATCTTGGTCTTAGCGAGATGTCCAAGGCGTACAAGTTGTTTAACTATTTGACCAAAAGGATAGTGACTAGTAGAGATGTTGTTTATCATGAAAAAAATACTTGGAACAAGGACGAAGAGTCGTCTAGTAAAGTTTTATGCGATGATGAATCAGAAGATATGGCTCCAAGGTCGGAAATTCCAGCAACTGTTGAAGTTTTTCCACCTATAGAAGAACCTATCAAAACAGAGAAAAGTGATCCCCGTGTCTGAAATATACCTACATGGATGCAAGACTATCAGGTAGCCAGTGTTAATATCAATGATGAGACAAGTGCTCATTTTGCATTGTTTGTAGATTGTGACCCACTAAATTTTGAAAGGGCTGTCCACGAAACAAAATGGAAGGAGGCAATGGATGCTGAAATTTTGGCAATTGAAAAAAAGAAACTTGGGAGCTAACTGATCTACCAAAAGGGAAAAGACAATTGGAGTTAAATGGGTTTATAAAACCAAACTCAATGAGAATGGTGAAGTTGACAAGTACAAGGCACGCTTGGTGGCCAAAGGATATAAGAAAGTGTATGGTGTGGATTACAAAGAGGTCTTTGCTCCAGTAGTCAGACTCGACATCATCAGGTTGGTGGTGGCACTGGCCGCCCAAAACAATTGGCCAATTTATCAATTGGACGTGAAAGCAACCTTCTTACATGGAGAATTTCAAGAGTAGGTATTTGTTAATCAACCCCTGGTTACATTAAGTATGGCAGCAAACATAAAGTTTGCAAATTGAGAAAAACATTATATGGGCTAAAACAAGCTCCAGGAGTTCGGTATAGTCGCATTGATGCTTATTTTTATATATCAGGTTTTACAAAATTTCCTTATCAGCATACACTTTATACTAAAACTGAAGATGGAAAGATTGTCATTATATGCTTATATGTAGATGATTTAATCTATACGGGGAATGATAGTGTATTGCTTGATAATTTTAAGCAATTGATGACGACCGTGTTTGATATGTCGGATCTCGGCTTGATGCATTACTTTCTTGGTATTGAAGTGAAGCAGTCCTTTGGTGGAATTTTTATTTCACAAAAGAAATATGTCCATTAATTTTTAAGGAGATTTCGAATGACAAATTGCAATTTTGTCACCACACCAGTAGAGATGGGGCTGAAGCTTGAAAAAAAATCCTACAGGAACAAGGATTGACAACACTTTCGACAAGCAAAATGTGGGAAGTTTGATGTATTTGACAATCACTAGACTTGATATAATGTACTATGTGAGTCTAATAAGCAGGTACATGGAAAATCCAAGAGAGACTCACTTGTTGGCTGCTAAAAGAATTCTCAAGTATTTGCAAGGTATTAATGATCTAGGCATTTTGTACAGAAAAGGAGGAAAATCATATCTAATTGGCTTCACAGATAGTGACTTTCCTGGAGACAAAGATGATAGGAAAATCACATCCGGTTATGTTTTTATGTTAGGATCAGGTGCTATTTCATGGTGTTCCAAAAAGCAGCCAATTGTTATGTTGTCAACTACAAAAGCAAAAATTGTTGCAGCAACTATGTGCACCACTCAAGGAATCTGGTTGAAGAATATTCTAGCTGAACTATGTCTTCTTCCACAAAAGTCAACTCTAATTTACTATGATAATGATTCAGCAATTAAGCTTTCCAAAAATCCAGATTTGCACGGGAGGAGCAAACACATTGATGTGATGAGATTGAGAATGAGTAAAGGTCTGACACATGGAGATCACCCATGTCGAGATCAATTTATAATAATAATGTAACACCTCAGACTTCAAAAAGGACTAAAGAGGGGTAACAGACAAGTCCACAAACCCAAAATGAACCATGGACCCTTCATACCACCCTAAATGGTCCGTTTAGGGGTCCACGACCCGTTTAGGGTATGGTGGACGACCGTCCAAGGATTCCAAGGTCAAGGTCACCTAGACAAGACCCTAGACGGTCCTTGGTGACTTTTACGGTCCGCTTAGGGCTCCGTACAAGTCACCCATCAGTTTTTTAAGTTTTGGGTCAACTCCAAATGATCATATATCTTAGCACATAATGAATTAGGTTCCCAATACCTATACAACTAGAGGTCTTTGAGTCCTCTTTCCAACCCCACAAGGTTTGCCTCATTTCGAGTTCGTAGTAAGAAATTATGCCCGTTTAAGTGAAGCCCTGTCGGGTAGGTGAAGCTTGACGACCGGCTAGATGGCCCGTGAAGCCTTAAACGGTTCGTGAAACCTCCTTTTTAAGGCACCTTTTCAGTTTTAAAAGCTGGGATTGTTTTAGTCTTTCCCCTATGTGTGTGGTATTTAAACTACATCATTTTGACCCTTATTCTAAGCCTAAACCATGAGTTTTTACACCTAATTAAGAGCTTAGAAAGTGTTAATCAATTATTTTACATTCATTAACACTTCAAGATATTAGAGAAACGTTCCAAGAGGAGAAAAGCTAGGGTTCAAGCGTTCTTTGAGTTTCATTGATTTTGCGAAAGAACTTCATTCCTCCAGGTATGTACGGCTATCATAGTGTTGGACTCATTCATCCTCACACCCTACATCTACTTTCAACTCAGTCAAAGATTAATCTAGGGTGCTTTCCTTATATTTCAATATTCTTTAGATGACTTGATATTAAGTTATGAATTCCTTGGTTGTTGATTATTGAATTCCTATTTCTAATCATTGAAGTTTCATATATTGTGTATTGTGATTATTGAGTTGATTTCTCATGACTATTTTTCTGCATGAACCCTATTTTTGAGTATTAAGTATATTCTTATTGAGAATCTTTTAATCAAAATATTATTGTTTAAACTAAGTTTTGAGGAAGTAAATAGCAGTTTTAGAAAGAGTATAACGGAACTAAGTATTTCTCAAATGTTTCATTTTTTACATTAACAAAAAGAGTAGAGCTTTTTCTGAGAAAAGTTAAAAGAGTTTTCAAAAAGATTAAGTACAGAACAGTTACCCCTTAAAAAGGCCCCTTTTGAGTAATTATCTCAACCCAGAATGTATTTTTACATTGAGCAAAAAGAAACTTTATTTTCTAAATGAGCAATGAGTTTCAGAGATATTTCAGAGTAGTTACCTTTCTAAAAAGGATTGTTTGAAAAATTACCTCAAACCAGAGAAAGAGAATGTTTTTATACAATTAAGAAATTTTTTATATTATTGGGAGTAGTATTGAGCATTGATATTGGGGAGAGTACATACAACTTAAAGGCTCCATAAACCATGTCTTGACAACATGGGTACATGATCATACTTTTTAGATGAATCCTTAGGGCCTTCAGGTAGATCTTAGTGGATCCACTTAGTTGAAAGGTTTTATAACCTGACACGATAAGACAGTTCTGGCAGAGTAGACAAGACGTTGTATCATCACTTAGCTCATAGTGATTGTTGTCAGTTAGAGAATCACCCAATAGAGTTAATGAGTTTTTTTTGTTATATATCACTGATTATGTTAGATTTTAGAGATTAGAAAGCATCTTATAAAGTTAAATGATTTCATTCCTTTAATTCTTTATATTCAATTGAGTTTATGCTATATCTTTTGAAGTCCTTTCATTAGTTATTTTTCCTCGGCTATATTACATACTCGTGCATTCAATGTACTGATGACATTCGACCTGCATCTTTTATGATGCAGATACAGGTGTTCAGGATCATCAACAGGCGCTTTGTTGAAATTATTTGGCACTCCAGTTAGCTTTTGGTAAGCCTCTTGCATTCTAGAGGACTTCCTTTTTCCTTTAAGTTCAGTCATTTTAGGGTGTTGTGGGTCTTATCCCGACATCCATATTGAACT